ACCATCATTCGTTTGCTAAGTCGGTCAGTACGGTTAACTGTATTATCGATTACTAGAGAACGGCCTGTTCAAGTTAACGGTAACCTTAAAACATTGATGTAGGAATCTTACAGACTGCTTCCAGATAAAGATATTCCGAATCAGAAGAAACACAAATAAAACGTAGAATGGAAACAAGGAGAAGGAAGATTAGCGTCTAAGAGTTTATTATAATGGAGAGCAATGTGATCCATACATGCAAATAGGCATTCAAACGTGCCAACTGATTTCACTTATTGCACTAGCAAAGCAATTAAATGCTCAGGAAATGTCGACCACATCAGTGTAGAAGTCCTCAGCACTTTGACACACAAATTAAAATACATGTAGACTTTCACTGTATACAGATTTTCTGTGAACATTCATTTTCCAGTAGAATTTCAAGTCATATCCAATACGCGCAGCGTATTCCTGCTTACTTCCTAGTAAGGTTTACTGCCAAGGCGAACAGTGACACCTGACATACAGGTACGTCTCACATGATAGTAATCTTTCGCTGCTGAAGGATCCTGAAGTAAACCGGAGGCATGTAGGCCTACCCTTTACTCAAATACAGCCCTCTGAAATCAACGGAAAATTACGAATACTATTTTTCACAAGCTGCCTGTTTCCAGCGAAAGAAATTTCTCACAGAAAAAAAAGCACAAAATAACTTACGTTCATGTAACATTTTAATCCTCAAAAATTCCTTGCTATTGTTATCCTAAATTTTATAGTTTAAGAGTTTTCGCTCATGTTACAAAACTTTGTTACATGCAGAGGGAAAGGTCACGCCATAGCTCAAGCGGTTAGTCGCTGGCTTCCCACCGCGGCGGCCCGGATTCGATCCCGGGTCTGGTCAAGTGGAATTTGAGGTGGACAAAGTGGCGCTGGGGCGGGGTTTCTCCGAGTATTTCGGTTTCCCCTGCCGTTCTTCATTCCACCAAATTCTCCATCAACATAATCACACCGGGCAGGCTACAATAGGCCAATCATTGGCCGCCGTGCCGAGTGGACCCAGTTGGACTCCACCACCACTAAGCGAATTAAAAAAAATTACATGCAGAAGGAAACTTTTTCTAGAAAAAGTTTCTTAATGCTACTGTCCATCTCAAAATTTCTATCGGTTTCGTAGTTGAAATTCTTAACAATTAAAAGGCTTTGTTTCTTATGAATTTCACTGTCATTTCACTACAATGAACGTAAAACCTGGGAAGATGCTTCTCTGGGTGCCATTACGGAAATTTTAACCTTCCAAAGAATTATACCAATAATCCTTATTCTTAACACCGCAGATACAGTCATGAATTAATATGAACAATTTCTGAGATATGTACCACATACTTTTGACTACATGGCGCAACAATTCCTTCACAGTCAACGCTTTGAGAACCTCAAAGTGCTTACGTGCCTGTCTTTCCGTCACGTGTTTCTTAACTGTTCACATCACCTTTGGGCTTTCAAACAAACAATTTCCAATTACAACCTGTACGACTCCAAGCTCTAAGTAACCTATATAATGTTCTGAAAAACCTACTCTGGACTGTCACTTGCCCAAGCTTGCCGCTCCGGATAATATGATCCCTCATTACATGATGCGCATAAAGTGTATTATCTTTGACACTGGATGCCATTATCTCAAATGCGAACCGATTCTTTATCAGTCTCACTTGAACAAGTCACCAGTCAGCCCCCATTCAACGTCGACCTAGTGGAGGGGGCCAAAGTGAAGATCGATACCTGACCGTTAACTCAAAAATTCAACGCTCTGTGATCTTGTAAGCGGTTGGAAGCGCCTCAGTAGCTACATT